AAGCAGGCTGTGGTCATGTTTAAGCACGTCTCACTCTTCTGATGTGTTCTATGGGTAGAAGCAGGCTGTGGTCATGTTTAAGCACGTCTCACTCTTCTGATGTGTGTTCTGTGGGTAGAAGCGGCTGTGGTCATGTTATAAACACGTCTCACTCTTCTGATGTGTTCTATGGGTAGAAGCAGGCTGTGGTCATGTTAGAAACACGTCTCACTCTTCTGATGTGTTCTATGGGTAGAAGCAGGCTGTGGTCATGTTTAAGCACGTCTCACTCTTCTGATGTGTGTTCTGTGGGTAGAAGCGGCTGTGGTCATGTTATAAACATGTCTCACTCTTCTCATGTGTTCTATGGGTAGAAGCAGGCTGTGGTCATGTTATAAACACGTCTCACTCTTCTGATGTGTGTTCTATGGGTAGAAGCGGCTGTGGTCATGTTTAAACACGTCTCACTCTTCTGATGTGTGTTCTATGGGTAGAAGCAGGCTGTGGTCATGTTTAAGTACGTCTCACTCTTCTGATGTGTTCTATGGGTAGAAGCAGGCTGTGGTCATGTTAGAAACACGTCTCACTCTTCTGATGTGTTCTATGGGTAGAAGCAGGCTATGGTCATGTTTAAGCACGTCTCACTCTTCTGATGTGTGTTCTATGGGTAGAAGCGGCTGTGGTCATGTTATAAACACGTCTCACTCTTCTGATGTGTGTTCTATCGGTAGAAGCAGGCTGTGGTCATGTTTAATAAACACGTCTCACTCTTCTGATGTGTTCTATGGGTAGAAGCAGGCTGTGGTCATGTTTAAGCACGTCTCACTCTTCTGATGTGTGTTCTATCTGTAGAAGCAGGCTGTGGTCATGTTTAAACACGTCTCACTCTTCTGATGTGTGTTCTATCTGTAGAAGCAGGCTGTGGTCATGTTTAAGCACGTCTCACTCTTCTGATGTGTGTTCTGTCGGTAGAAGCAGGCTGTGGTCATGTTATAAACACGTCTCACTCTTCTGATGTGTGTTCTATGGGTAGAAGCGGCTGTGGTCATGTTTAAACACGTCTCACTCTTCTGATGTGTTCTATGGGTAGAAGCAGGCTGTGTTCATGTTATGTACACGTCTCACTCTTCTGATGTGTGTTCTATGGGTAGAAGCAGCTGTGGTCATGTTATAAACACATCTCACTCTTCTGATGTGTTCTATCGGTAGAAGCAGGCTGTGGTCATGTTATAAACACGTCTCACTCTTTTGATGTGTTCTATGGGTAGAAGCAGGCTTTGGCCATGTTATAAACACGTCTCACTCTTCTGATGTGTTCTATGGGTAGAAGCAGGCTTTGGCCATGTTATAAACACGTCTCACTCTTCTGATGTGTTCTATGGGTAGAAGCAGGCTGTGGTCATGTTTAAGCACGTCTCACTCTTCTGATGTGTGTTCTATCGGTAGAAGCAGGCTGTGGTCATGTTTAAGCACGTCTCACTCTTCTGATGTGTTCTATGGGTAGAAGCAGGCTGTGGTCATGTTATAAACACGTCTCACTCTTCTGATGTGTGTTCTGTTGTTAGAAGCGGCTGTGGTCATGTTTAAACACAGTTGTTCCCCTGATGTTCTCAATCAATCAGTTGATTGTCAGACAACCAGTGAATGTAAAATGTAAAAAATCATTTTCTTACGTTTGAGAGTATTCATCAACAATTGATATAATAATAATAAAATGTTCTTCCCATGTTTGTTGATTAATGATCTGTTTTTTATTTGTTTAGCTTTTAATTATTCAATATGAGACCTTAAATTATATTTCCATGTGTCTTTGTATGTCATTTGTTCTGTAAACGTTCATAGTGTTTATATTAAGTTTATGTTCATGTGTTCCAACAAGTCATCTTATTATAAATAATAATCTTACTTTTATACTCTGACCATGTACATAAATACATCCTTATTCATTTAAAGGTGTTAGTATAAAATTATCAATTTCAACATAATTAAATCTAAAAACAAAAATAAAATCACCTGGACTTGACTCAATCATGAGCTTTTATTTTGCAGGTTACGTCACCGTGTTTCCGGTCTGTCTCTGACAGCTTGTCACAGCCTGGAGCGGAGGGGGGCGTTTCCCCGTGACGTCACCGTGGGAGGGGCGTGTCCTCCAAAAGCTCAAGACTCAGAGGAGTTGATGACAAAAAATTAAATAAAAACTAAGATGTAGAAAAACTAAAGCTGAAAGTAACTAAGTACATTTATTCAAGTACTGTATTTATACAAGTACTTCCATGTTCTGATACTTTATACTTCAAACTTTACTATGTATTTAAATATATATAATATATAAATATATTTATAAATATATATTTCTATACACATATATAAAATTTATATTATGTATATATAATATATTTGTATAATTTTTTTAATAAAACAGCTGATAAATATGTTGTCATTATTGATGAACCAGGAGCCTGTGAAGTGTGTTGGTTGTTGTCAAACAGTCTTTTTAATGAGAATGTTTTTATATATTTCTGATATTAAAGAGCAGCAGAAGACAAACAGAAAAACAATAAATAAATTACGGTTTTCACCAGATTACCGTTAAAAAAATAGCAAATATCTGAATAAACAAAAGCTGTTACTATGAAGACTCTTGGTCATGTGACATTTGTGCACATCTTAGCTGTGAATGTTTCATCCTGTTAACTAGTCAGGTAGCTGCAAAACAAGCCCCGCCCACGTCTTAAGACCCACCCAATATAGAGATTCTTTATGTAGATACAGAAAAACCAGAAGCTCAGACTGAGTCTATGCAGCTCCAGAGAAGTGGAGCCAGTCAGCGGGGGGGAGAGACCGGGGGGGGGTGCAGGTCTTGAGTCTAGGTCTTTAGTCCAGGTCCTGGATGCGACGGCAGATTTCAGCTGTAAACTCAGAACACTTGGAGTTTCCTCCCAGATCTCCAGTCAGCACCTGAAACACAAAGTTTACAGTCATTGAACGCAGCGCGACGTCAGAAAATACTCCTCATGCACTTCCTCTCCCAACTTCTTCACCCCCCAGGTCTCCAGACTCACCTTCTTGTCTCTGATGGTGTCGAAGCAGGCCGTCTGGATCTTGTTTCCGTAGTCATGGTGACCCATGTGACGCAGCATCATGACGGCGCTGAGCAGCAGAGCGGTCGGGTTGGCGAGGTCCAGCCCGGCGATGTCGGGGGCGGTACCGTGGACCTACAGGACCCACAAAGACCACCACATCAGGACCCACAAAGACCACCACAGCAGGACCCACAAAGACACATTAGGGTCTCATTTCACGTCTTCCATAATAAATCCATAAGATCGTTAAAATAATGAATGGACCGATTCAAAGATGGCGACTCCGTTGGCTCCGATGTTCCCACTGGGAGTCACACCGAGTCCTCCAATGAGACCAGCACACAGGTCACTGAAACACACACACACACACACACACACACACACACACACACACACACACACACACACACACACACACACACACACACACACACACACACACACACACACACCAGGGTTCACTCTTTTTTTACATGATTTAACACATGTTAATGAAGGACAAAGAGGACAAAGACAGACCTGAGGATGTCTCCGTACAGGTTGGGCATCACCAGGACGTCAAACTGGGTCGGGTCCTGAACCATCTGGAGGTCCAGAAGGACATAAAGAGACTTTAGATCTTAGATGTGATGAATGAGATGTGTTGGTGAAGAACAGGAGTCTGCAGAGACTCTCACTCACGTTGAGACACACGGTGTCCAGATACATCTCTGTGAACTTTATGTCTTTGTAGTTCTCTGCTACCTCACGACACTTTCTAAGAAACAGACCGTCTGACATCCTCCTGGAGAGACAGACAGAGAGAGTGAGACAGTGAGAGACAGACAGAGAGAGAGAGAGAGAGA